AATGGCCTCGATTGCCATCAGTCGATATATCCTCTTGTTGGAAATTTGTAGCCAGGGACATTTTGACGTATCAGGTACAAATAATTCCGGAAGCGAAAGCCCAATTCCTGGAAACAATCCAACAAAGAGCTCAAGTTCAGAACTCTGAAGATGTGGGATAATTTGTTTTAAGGGGGTATGCTACTTACCAATGTAAGTAATAATGTACAGGGATATGAAAGCCGGGTTTCCAAGGAAGTACGGACCTCAAATTAGATTGTGATTGTTCGGGGAACTACGGTAAAGCTCCAATGACCTTGGGTAAACACTAGGGCTGCGCAATATAACCGGTTTACCGGTATTTACCGGTTCAGACAAGAAAACGATACGTATTGCGATACGCTGATCGAAAACCGGTATTTTGACTTGTATTCGGAAAACGTCGTAACACTCGGAAATCTTCGGATATTTTCTTCTTTTATTTGTGCCAAATATTATTCACATGTTTATTCTATCATGATTAACATTTGTTTATTAAAGCTTAATCAAGCATAGTGATTTTGTTGTGTTTTTGCTCTATAAATCAAGCAGTAACTCGATTATATGTAGTTTTTTGTTTAAAAGTACTTCACGCAATATATTGCAATACATATCGCAATACATGCTTTCGCATCGCAATATATCGCAATATGATTATTCTTTGCAATACCCACCCCTAGTAACCACACTGTACCTCTCCCCATCTCAATAAAATGCTTACCGTATTTCAGATTAACGTACCATAGTTAATTCATACGTCGGCTACGGCTAAGCCAGAACAGAAACGGACGTCAATATACCGTATAATTCCGCATGGGTTACTCTTGGAGACTTGGGTCTGCTCTGAGGACAGTTCTAGTTTTACAGTTTCATGTACCGTCTCTTCATGTCGTTTTCTCTTAAATAAAGCAATATGCGAGTTGGGTCCCTCGAAGTACTCATGAAATGCCCTTTGGTCACAGGTAGTTTAAGGGATTTGGGTGGACGGCTGACGTAGTACCCACTCGGGTTTGAATCACTGTTTGGACAATAATTTTTACAAATAAAAATCTAGACTTTGCAATCGTATATTGTTTTTATATGTTATGATTAACATACATTTCAAATTTGAACGAAATCGGTGAAGAAAATACAGATGCAGTGATCTTAAAAAAATAGTAGATCTATCTGAAACTATTATTTTATAAAGAGAAATATATTCTAGAATTGTGTCATTCTAATTGCAGATTTTGCTCTATAGATATAAAATATTTATGATCATAACTATGCGTGAGGTTGGTTTTTATGCATGGAACAATTTGACCTGTCACCGATGAGGTTTCGCGCCCGTGCATGTGTGCGTGCGTGTTTTGTTTTTGTTTGTTTTTTGTTTGTTTGATTGTTGATTTATTTATTTTATTTTATTTTATTTTATTTTATTTTTATTTTATTTTATTTTATTTTATTTTATTTTATTTTATTTTATTTTATTTTATTTTATTTTTTTTATTTTTTTTTTTTTTTTTTTTTTTTATTTATTTATTTATTTATTTTTATATTTTTTTTGGGGAGTGTCGGGATTGGTGAACAACATTGCCCACCGCTACATCATTGCTGAAATACCGTTGATGTGACCAGAGACCATATAATAGATATGGTCTCTGATGTAATTCAAATTCAGGTTATAGATTTTCGAAGCTTATAAGATAGTCGATACATTAACAGATTATTTATTGTGCCGCGTTTCCCGACGAGAGTTACCTCCCTTACATCGTTCTTCATTTCTCAAAGTCTGTTTATTTATAACATCCGGTGCAATGAAAGAGTGACAGCGTGACAAATATTTCGTCAATTAACACTGGACCTGGGGCTTTGAGAAGGCTACTTTTGTGACGGAAACAATACATAATCAAAACCTGTCAAAATGATGCAAGTAACAGACTTTCAAAGTGAGTTGTTTCATTGAATTCAGCTTCCCTTGGATACTTGTGCTGACACGTCATTCTTGTCGACGAGAGACGTCTGTTACCAAGTTCCATGTTTTTATTAGGCGCGTTCTCCAGTGCGAGCTCACAACATAAACTGATGTTTTATTCATTTAATAACAGACAGTGGCATATAAAAATCGATACACCAAGTAACGAATATGATAAGTGTTATAAATGTTATGCAGGTAGTCAAAACAAAGTGGCAAAGCTAATACTGAACAATATGTTCTACTGATGATAGTCAATAGATTCGTTCTTATTACAACTGCTATGATTGGTCCCCATACAAGGAAAGTTTTAAAATAATCTTATCATTAAATCTTTCGGTTTGAAATTTGTCAATATATATTGCTGTCTACTTTACTCTTTTGTGACCCAGCTTGATTTAGCAGGAAAGCTTACATAGGACATATTCAGCTGATCATATGGCGCCAAGATTATAGTTCCTGCTGACCCAGTGTGCACTATCATTTTATGTATAAAAATTAGGGGTGGGTATTGCAGAGGATGTTCATATTGCGATATATTGCGATTCAAAAGCACATATAGCGATATATATTGCAAGAAATTTTTCTTAACAAAAACTACTTTTAATCGAAGTTAATGCTTGATTTATAAAGCAAAAACACAACAAAATCACAATGCTTGATTAAGCATTAATAAAACCTTCAATTATGACAAAATAAAAATGCAAATAATATTGGCACAAATGAAACAAGGAAACATCAACACAGTGGTTACTAGTTTGAACTCGTTTCTCCACTCTCAAAAAATGCCCTGAGATTTTAGACAGCAACTTGACCTGGTCAGGACATATCAGAGATCACTGGTCATTACTGAGTAAATATTTAAAACATTGCGAAACACTTCAACAAAAATTAAGAACACAACTTCAAACCAAACTTAATTTGACTTCCAATGTGAAAAACGTAAACATCGGAAGATGTCCGAGTGTTACAAAGTTTTCTGAATTCATGTTGAAATACCAGTTTTGGATCAGCGTATCGCAATTACGTATCATTGTCTGAACCGGTAAATACCGGTAAACCGGTTATATTGCACAGCCCTAATAAAAATCAAGCAAATGTTATGTCTTCAACACATCTGCTGTAACTGTACATGGTATAGGTTTGCTGGCATTATATTGGAGTTAACATTGTACAGCCCTCAGAATAAAAAGATTATTTGACAGTTCTGCAAAGAACAAAGATTCCATGATAATCATGACAATAATAATCTAACTATTAGAAAAAATTTGATGTTGAAATCTTAGTCAATTTGTAAACCCTTACTCACATTACATAGAAGGAACAGAGTATTATTGGACACAGGCTTTATGAAGATTGTGTATTCTTTGTTTCAGGTCCTGGCCAAATGGGCTGTTATGATTCACTGACATATTCGGTAAATTGGACTGTATTCCTTTATGAATTCAATTCCTTATCCAGATGAATGAATATTCATGAATTCATTAAAAAGGAGTACTGTTTATTTTTTATATTTGGCTTATTTTTATGCAGATTCTCTGTTTGGCTATGAATAGCAGAATCTGCACAGTGCCCAAGCTACTATGTTTCTCCTTTACAATGTGCCATGATCGCTATCTAAAATCTTATGGCAAATTATTATGGGCTGTGAAGCACTTGCCTAAAGGGAGATAATATTACAATGATATTAACTTATGACATAAAAGTATTGTATAGGCATATGAATTGTATCTCAGTGTATTATCAAGATACGTATCAAATTGCAGCCTCATTCCATTGCTACATCTCTGCTGCATTCATGAAGTAAACATTTACAATTTCAGCATCATCATTGACATAATACCGTGAAATTTTAGCAATGATGTTACTATTATTAGTAATGTTGGGAATTGGTTCAAATCTCATAATTGATGATTGGTTCATTACTACCGATCAATCATCGAAAATAATTGGTTAGCGTCATTTATGAAATTTGTTAATGCACATAAAAATAAGGAAAAAACATGTAGTTCTTTTAGTTTTTTTTTGACAAAATGCCACATCTTTAAAGGATGACTAGTACCGGTATGTTGAGAATATAAATTTCTTGGAATTTTTCCGATATATTCAATCATGACTTGAAACTAGCTTGCAGGGCTTGCGAAATGTAACAGACAAAACCAACCATGTGAAAAATATTGTTAATGAAAACAAGTGTTCCAGAATTGTTTGTGTTCGATTATGAGAAATTATGATCGATTACTTGGTCGTTTAGTCACTACGACCAATCTTCGATTATTTCAATTAATCGGACCACCACTAATTATTAGTGATAGATGGTGACATTGTATTCCTGTAATACCACACACGTCTAACCATTACATTCACTTAAAAGTTTGGTGGTATATGGATACATAAGTTTTATGTGTCTACATGGGTATACAGTGTTGGAAATACTTTCGAAATTTTGCCAGCCAATCGGGCTAGCTATTCCTGAAAGTTACTAGCCCACAAAATAGTTCACTAGCCCGAAATGTGAATGTAGAAACTCAGCAAAAAATTACAAAAAAGTAAAATACCATCATTTATCAGGCCATAATCTTGCATGATTTAAAAGTGTATTATAACTTAACAAGTCGGAGAGAGTGATATATTTTAGAAAATATCCCCATGAAAATTCTCTATCCAGACGGAACAGGGACTATGGAAATATACTGGCCCGACTGGATTTTTGCTAGCCATGGGCTAGCAGGCCAGTGGCTATTTCACTCACTGGTATAGATAATTTGACTAATGAAGACAATCAATTTAATACTATGTATAACTATAAACTGGCTAGTACATTATATGTGTAAAATTCATTTTTTGACTTATCATTGTCTACTTTAACTGCCATCATACAAGCACTTGAGGGAGTGAATTATCAATTTAGTATTGATTTGGAATTATTAATTTAGTATAGATAGTCATAAACTTGTAACAATCCATTATGGACGTGAAAAGATTACCAATGAATTGAAATCATGACATCAATGAAATCTCTATTAAAATGGGTTTTTTATTGTCTTTTTTGCAGATTTTGTTCTTAGCTGGCCTGGCATTTGTAATAGGCTTGGAGAGAACAGCAAGATTTTTCTTCCAAAAGCATAAGGTGAAGGCCACAGGGTTCTTCCTTGGGGGCATTCTGGTTGTCCTCCTGGGATGGCCCATGGTCGGCATGTGTGTGGAGATGTACGGGTTCTTCTTGTTATTCAGGTAATGAGACGCACTCAGCTGAGGCCTGCTACCTCTGCAACCCATCCCGCTACTCAATCCCCAAAATAATGGTGGTTCTGGTAACCTGAACCCGTGAAGATGCGGGTTAGAATATTGATCTTCAGTAACCCATGCTTGTCGTAAGAGGCGACTAACGGGATCAGGTGGTCAGGCTCGCTGGCTTGGTTGCCACATGTCATCGGTTCCCAATTTCGCAGGTCGATGCTCATGCTGTTGATCACTGGATTGTCTGGTCCAGACTCGATTATTTACAGACCGCCGCCATATAACTGGAATATTGTGGAGTGTGGCGTAAAACTAAACGCACTCACTCACTCTGGTAACCGTGACTGACCCAGCATTTCTCTTGTGATGATGTTATTACACATATGACTAGTTGTGGGGAAATAGCACCAAATAGTGAAAGTGACAATCAATGTTGTTTTACTCATTCTCAGTATGTAGATGATGTGACCGTTTTTTTTGTTTTTAAATATCCACTGGCTGTTGTATTTGTTATAATTTTTCATAACCCTTCTGAAACCATAGCATGACATTGTAGGTCCTACCTGTGATTCACCATTCTCAGTTCAGGGTATCTGAAACTTCTGTTTTGGAGGGTCTTTTTAACCTTATGATAATATAACCAGATTTATAGTCAGTGTAGACATTTGAACTGCATTTGCCTGGTTCCTTACCTGTATTCATACCTGATAAGTAGCAAAGGTACTGTAAGTCCCCATGGTCTCTAGTATGGTGATCTACCTTTAGTTGTTGGCGATCTATAGTCTGTTTCTATATTGTATTGTCCCAAATAGTCAAATAATTTGAAGCTAAATTGCTAGTTTTAATATTTCAATTTATGATATTCTAGTTGTTTTACTGTTTTATACTCCAATATTAACTATTGTTAACATCTTACCTGTTTTAGTCACGATATGGCTGCAATATTGACAATGTGACTTTAAATTTTAAACTCACTCACTCACTCATCCCTGGTAATGATACAGCCAATTTATTTTGGATTCTTGGTTGGAATAGATCTCCAGCAAGTTTGCAACCCAGTTGATGTCAATATCAAGCACTGGATTGTTTGGTCCAAGTTAGATTGTTTACAGGCTAAAAGTTTGCTAAAAGTGTCAATACACAGTAAACAATCAAACAATGAGATGAGTGAAGTCAGTGAAGCAAGTCTGTCAAGGCCATGGTTCAAATACCATTTTTTTTCAGAAAATTGATTTCATATGTGAAAATATTTATAACATAATTTCTGATTTGCATTAAATATTATAAAACATTTTTTTTCATATGTGTTGTTTGCATACACTCCCTCACTCACACCAGTCAGATACTGACATTGTTTACTTCTGTTTCAGTGGGTTCTTCCCTGTAGCTGTCAACTTTTTAAGACGTGTACCAGTTGTAGGAACAATATTGAATCTACCGGGTATAAGATCGGTAAGCTAAACCTTTATCCTTCTGTGTTGACACGGGGCGGTGGGGTAGCTCGTCACGCCGAAGACCCGGGTTCGATTCCCTACATGGGCACAATGTTTGAAGCCCATTTCTGGTGTCCCCGCTGTGATATTGCTGGAATATTGCTAAAAGCGGCGTAAAACTAAACTCAGTCAGTCAGTCTGTGTTGACACATTTTGACAACACACGGTGGATTTTGACTCTCGATAGTAGCAAGTGACTAAGCATGGTCAGCTAACGTCCAGGTGTGACTAGGTGACAAGGATTCAAACTCAGACGACATTATTACAATGTTGATACCCTCAAGCTTGAGAAAAACATAGCAAATATCTGTTCTGTCAGTTAACTGAAAATTATTTCACCACGTCAATTTGTGTTTTCTTAGTGTCAGTATGGTATGCACAAGACATCCATTTTGTCTTTGATCCTTATTTTAGGATTTACAGATGTTATGAATAATTAATTGTTAGATGGATTAAAGTTTGTGATAATGATCTATGCCTCTCCAGGGCGGTGGGGGTAGCCTAGTGGTTAAAGCGTTTGTTCGTCGCCGAAGACCCGTTTTCGATTTCCCCACATTGGTACAATGTGTGAAGCCCATTTCTGGTGTCCCTCGCTGTGATATTGGTGAAATATTGCTAAAAGCGGCGTAAAACTTAACTCACTCACTCACTATGCCTCTCCAAAGAAGTATAGGACGATGCTTAGCATCTATAGCATCATCATGGCTAGATGCAGGTGGTTGTCGTCATTCTTTAAGCTGATCTGAATTTTATTAACATTCACTCATAGACTGGTGAGAACAGCAATAATTTAGTCTGTTAATTATTATTGTTATGAATTCCTTTCTGAATGTATTTTCCACTTTGTTTCAGTTTGCGGACAGAGTGGGAGAATCTGGCTCTATGGTATAACTCCACCTGATGCTCATACTAAAACACATTCATGTGTTACCATGTGTCTGACTGTGTTGTGTGAATGTTGACAGTGTAAACGAAACTATGTGTAAAGTGGGCACAACTCTGGCCATTGCATACGAAGTGTAACCCCTTTGGTGTATATGAGGTAAACCTGGCTGGTGTATACACAGTGTACCCCAGCCTGGTGTATACAAAGTGTAACTCCAGCCAGTGTATACACAGTGTACCCCCAGCCGGTGTATACAAAGTGTAACTCCAGCCGGTGTATACCAAGTGTACCCCCAGCCGGTGTATACAAAGTGTAACCCCAGCCGGTGTATACAAAGTATAACTCCAGCCGGTGTATACAAAGTGTACCCCCAGCCGGTGTATACAAAGTGTAAACCCAGACGGTGTATACAAAGTGTAAACCCAGATGGTGTATACAAAGTGTAAACCCAGACAGTGTATACAAAGTGTAAACCCAGCCGGTGTATACAAAGTGTAACTCCAGCCGGTGTATACAAAGTGTAACTCCAGCCGGTGTATACAAAGTGTAAACCCAGCCGGTGTATACAAAGTGTAACCCCAGCCGGTGTATACAAAGTGTAACTCCAGGCGGTGTATACAAAGTGTAACCCCAGCCATTGTGTACAAAGTGTAAACCCAGCCGGTGTATACAAAGTGTAACCCCAGCCATTGTGTACAAAGTGTAAACCCAGCCAGTGCATGTAAAATGTATTCCTGGCTGGTGTATACAAAGTGTAAAATTCTCCCATAATTCCACTCCATTGTTAATACCATATGACCGTTCCTATAGAATTGACGATCAGGGGACATGTCTCAAGTTGATACACCGACCATATTTCACAATCAATTCATCTGTATATTACTTTGACTAAGCTCCTGAATAATTCAGTACAAAATTGATTCAACCTAAAGGAGGAATCTCAATGCATTGCCTTAACAAAGGACAGTTGCAACTATGTTTGGAACACCTGTGAACGCTTTGTTAAAGTGTGATAGTTACAATCATATCAGCAGTAAGATCACTTTGTCGAACATCATCCTTGGTGGTTAGGTGGAACTTGGCCAAACTACAGACAAGCTTGATTTACATCCTTCAAATGTGTCATAGTTATTCAAATGTATATCAATTTTCAATATTTATTACGGCTGTAGATTTAATCAAGGAAATAGGGAATATAAGTATGTTATGTCAGACTACTGTACAACATTAGATCAGCTACTCTACAGATACACATTAGGGGTAAGCTAGTGGTTAAAGTGTTCGCTTGTCACGCTGAAGACCCGAGTTCGATTCCACACATGGGTACAATGTCTGAAGCCAATTTCTGGCATTCCCCTGCTGCTGGAATATTGCTAAAAGCGACGTAAAACTAAACTCACTCACTACAGATACATTATCAGTCCAGGAAGAAAGAGCAGCAGCAACATGTCTAATGTTTCTACCCAATACTTCTTGCCATGGTGAGGATGTCTTGTGTTCCAGAATTAATACACATTTACCTCAAGCCTATCATGTCTTACCAAAGCATCTGCAAACATGACTATTTCTTTGGTTAACATATTTGTTGTGACAGCTTTTAGCAGCTTATATTAATACATCACTGTCCTTCGTCACTCAGAAGTAATCAGTGTTGATGAAAAATGGTAATTTACATAATTTATCTAGATCTAAGTCAAATTGTATGAAATTCTTTAACTGTACTGACAAACAAGTATTTCTCTGACATAGGAAACCTGTTATGTGTTGATAGAGGACATAGATTGAACTCTGTTAAAATGAGGGCATGTCTTAATTTCTGCCAACAAGGAATGCAACAGTTCATAGTTAGGTCAATAAAAGCATTGCAGTTAAAAGAATGGCTAGGGGCTTTGCTAAAAATATCTAGGGGAAACATTATCTCATCACAAACTAGTTTTGTCAACTGTTCAGCTTCTCCACAAAATGGCAGTTTTGAAGGATGGATTAAACAATGGTATTATCCTGTTTGGGGCTCACAGTCGAGCAAGAAGCAATAGAGAATCATGTTTTAGCTACCTAATATGATCAATTTAAATTGTTATATCTAAAGATATGTCCGCCTTCTGGTGTTGTGATACTTGGGGGAATCCTAGTAGTTAGTAAGTGTTCTCAACTTGGCCGAAACACAGGTTTCATTCCCTTCATTGGCCAATACTACCCAGCATTCAACACCTTCCCTAGTCTGTCAGTTACAAGTGATAGACAGTGTTAAGGATCATTCTCTCACAATGACGGAAGCCTAGAAGAATAGATTATTGGATTATCGTGTCAGCCTAAGGGACAGCCAGGTGTTCGAGAAGCACGTTCACAGACAAAGTTATTTATTCATTAACCTGTGCTGTGCCGTCTCCATCCTTTCTCGAACACCTGGCTGTCCCTTTCTCTGCACTCCTCCCTCGTAACAAATAGTGAACTGTGTCAATTAGGGGTGTCACGATACACCATTCTCACGATACGATACGTATCACGATTTTAAGGTCACGATACGATACGTATCGCGATACATAATTTTCGCGCCTTTTCATAGCATTACCTTACCGGCAACGTACGCGCTCGCTGATTGGTCCATCAAAATAGTCTAGCCAATCACAAAAGCTGTTAGTTTCCAACCTATTTTTTTAAGTAAAGCTAGCTACATCTAATTTATCGAAGCGGTCTCGTATAATTTTACTATCAAGACTTTGAAGGAGATGGATATAGCATAAAAATTTGAATCGATAAAGTTTTAAAATAGGAATCGATACACGCAAGCATGTATCGCGTATCGTATCGTCAGTAAAAATGTATTGATGTATCGATACATTCGCGTATCGCGACACCCCTAGTGTCAATATTTTAATGATAGTTTGTTGAACAACTTTTTTATTTTTAGCTCAAAAATTCTGCAAAAACCTCACAGAGTGGGTATGATGTTTTGATTATGATCAGCGTTTCATTGAGTATTTTATGTTTATTAGTTTTCGAGTTAGATTGCAATTCATCAGTCCGCTTTTGAACCAAACAGACTATAGTCGGTGAAAATCCAGATGTTGACTGACCAGTGTATGGAAGAAAGAGTACGTACACAATAACATGTACAGTGTTCGATCACCATTGCTCCATTCAGTATAATGGTAACTCAGTAATAGAACACAGTAATGCATGGCTGATAACATTTATGTACATTTTTATCAAACTTAAGTTTTACATGGACTCTGCGAACAGTTATGAAATGTCTGAACCCCAAAGACAGCACTGTAGCGAGGGATCACTGTATATAAGTAAAGCAGGATATGGGACTGGAATGTGTTAATCAGTGAGTATTACCATTGTGGTGAACAGCCCTGTATGTGTGTTGTATGATACTAACCTTGTATAAATGTGATGTGTTACCGTTTTGTCATTATATTCATGTAAATATCATCAATGTTATCATCTGAAGCGAAAACATATGCAATCTGGTTGATCAGCTCTCAGTGATACCCTATAACATGCAAGTCTGCAAGTCACTGACTTCTCTCAACGCTCAAATATACTACACAAAGGAGTTAAGGACCAGCCAATTCTTTTATGTTACTATAGTTCTTCTGTCGTGTGGGGCGGTGGGGTAGTCTAGTGGTTAAAGCGTTGGCTCGTCACGCCGAAGACCCGGTTTGAATCCCCACATGGGTACAATTTGTGAAGCCCATTTCTGGTGTCCCCCGCCGTGATGTTGCTGGAATATTGCTAAAAGTGGCGTAAAATCAAACTCACTCACTCACTCTGTCGTGCTGTCACTGATCAGGTGGTAGCCTAGTGGTTGAGGCATATGCTCGTCACGCTGAAGACCCAGGTTCGATTCCTCACATGGGTACAATGTGTGAAGCCCATTTCTGGTGCCTGCTGTCGTGATATTGCTAAAAGTGGTGAAAAATTATACTCACTCACCCATGACAGATCAGCTATAGTAATATTATAGAATCAGATCTTCGAACTCTAGAATATGAAAGCAAATACCACAATAAGCACCTTTGGTATTTAGGAAAATGTCAGCAGTGTGTATTAGATAAAACAGGGTCTAGGACAGTTGCCACCCAGACAATTGCCACCCAGGACAGTTGCCACCCAGGACAATTGCCACCTAGGACAATTGCCACCAAGAACAATTGCCACCAAAAACAAATAATTCTGTTTCTTTACCAACTTTTATAAAACGTGATTCATTATGGTGGCTTTGATATTGTTTGGTGTATATTTGGAACGTAACAGTATCACAGATACTGGAATTATTTTTCCTTTATGGCAAGTCCCAACTATTTTAACAGTTTATTTGGAGAAAGAGGTTGCCTTGTGCCTGCACATAATTGCTTGGGTCTAGGTTTGCATCCTGACATGTGTATGGTTCATTGGTTGCCTACCATGATGCTGTGTAATATCATTAAGTGGCTTAAAACAATACTCACTCACTTCAACAATTCATCAAGTCAGATCATAGTCTAAAGGATTCAGTGACTTACGACTTACATATTCACCCCTGATCTTGTCAAAACAAATCTGTGTTAGACCCCAGATTCTTGGTGCTAGATTAAACAGTTTTTGTTAATAGAAATCATTCTAAACTTTTGTTATTAAGTACTTCAGTGTTGAGTGGACCTAAGTTTTAAGAAACAGAAACATCATCTTACCTAGAGACACCCACTGAAGGTTCCGCAGTGCAAGTCCAGCCAGGAACCAGAGCTTCACGTTTGGTTGTTTCCTACCTGGGGTGGACTGCCTTTGCTCAAACAGTAGATCATTACATGTTCTCATCAAAGGGATAAAAACCGGTTTACAATTTGAGTAGGAATATGGTTAAAGAAACACTAATGTTTGTCCTCTGCATCGTGATGGAGTTTTTAATTCGTCAGTGGGACATTTATCATAAGACACACCAAAAGCTTAATTACATTCAATGGTGTACAACAGGTGTAGACATATGATGTTACTTCTTACTCAAACATTGGAGTAGAGGTTCAGGAACTCAGTTTGAAATTAGTTACCAAAGAAGTCAGACATTTGAAAGAACTAGAAGACATTACATTTCTATGATAACTTCTGAATTGTTTGTAAAGATGTGTCAGTTCTCCATATGGCACTTCATCAGACTAGCACTAAGTACAATATTGAACAAACTTACAATGGTACAAGAATTTGTATTGAAACATCGCACTCACGAAATAAAAGAAGTTGTTATCCATAAAGTGTGTTCAATATTGTACTTCCCAACTTCAAAAATGCCACTCAAAGAAGTAATCCTGAGTAAGTGTACTTGATGCATATATCCTTGGATTATGTGTTTTTAAATGTACATTTTTGGACGGCTTTGTTTACTCTTGCTATAACGAGGCGGGTTACGTCACACAGACATTGTAAATACTCAGAAGATGGCTTGTGTTTAAGATAAAGTTGTCTTTATAACTTGGTGACATGTTTTTACAATTGTTCATGTGAGAATCAAGACTGACTGACTGAGTTTAGTTTTACGCCGCTTTTAGCAATATTCCAGCAATTTCACGGCCGTGGGACACCAGAAATGGGCTTCACACATTGTACCCATGTGGGGAATCGAACCCGGGTCTTAGGTGTGACGAGCCAACGCTTTAACCACTAGATCATCACACCGCCCTTGAGAATCAAGAAAACAACAGATGTTCCTAAGCGTTCCAAAACGTAAGGATATGTATACTATGTAAAATAATTCCCCCATTCTTTCATATTAATATAGGGGCGGTGGGGTAGCCTAATGGTTAAAGTGTCTGCTCATCAAGCGGATGACCCAGCTTCGATTGCCCACATGGGTACAATGTGTGAAGCCCATTTCTGGTGTCCCACCGCCGTGATATTTCTGGAATATTGCTAAAGGCAGCGTAAACCCTCACTCACTCAGTGCCATGACAAATTAACTTCAGTAATATAAAAGATGTGTCCTTAACTTCTTGTGAGTGGCATTCATGCTGATAAGTATACAGTGTGTGTATATTTTAACTCATTACTTCAAGTAACCTGTTAAAACAAACCATGAAGAAGAGACTGCCCATACAAGTAGGGCTGGCTATCATTATAGATGATAGAAATCGATTATCGATAAATATCGGAGACGTATCTTTGAACAAAAATGTCTGAAAGAAATGAACATTTCATATCACTGGTGGGCCGGTGGGATAGCCTAGTGGTTAAAGCGGTCGCTCATCACATCAAAGACCCGGGTTCAATTCCCCACATGGGTACAATGTGTGAAGCCCATTTCTGGTGTCCTCTGCCGTGATATTGCTGGTATATTGCTAAAAGCAGCGTAAAACTAAACTCACTTACTCACTCATATCACTGGTGAGTTGTTTCCTGTGTCCTGAACATAATTTTAAAGCTGACCATGAATAAAGTCTTAAGTTTGTGTATTATGTGAGAAAATTAGAACTTTTGTCCATTACAAAAGTTAATGTACGATATTATCAATAACACAATTTTCATATAGATAATCATTCATATTTGTTCCTATCGACGATATTTCTGATTAGCAATCATTTTGGCCAGCCCTACATACAAGTGTTGTGTCTTCACTTAAGGGTAATTAGTTCATTTATGGTTGTGTTTTCTGAGTATATCTTGCATAAAGCTATCGAGGTTATAACAAATACCTTAAGCTTTTCACAAGTATTATCTGATGTCAAAATTGTCCAACTCGTTCCACTTGATCATTCATTGCTTCAGTTTATTATGTAAATAGCCAAATAAACAAATGTGAAACTATGGTATTGTTTGTTTTAGTTTTTCCTGTGAACATACAATATGTGTGTACAATAATCAGTGTGTGTTAGGTTGTGTTTGTGATAAGGATGTGTTTGAAGGTTCTGCTAACCTGGGCCCTTATTCTCGAAACGTTCGTAGTCCTAAGAATTCTTAACTTTGATCGTAGCCAATGTGTAAAGAATGGGCTTAAGAAGTTCGTAGAGCTACGAACGTTTTGAGAATAGCTAGCCTGAAGTTTAAAGTATATGTGTTACAAATAGTGTTATGATACTTTTCATGTTATTGTGACTTTAACTAATCTTAGTTATGTAAGAAAAAACTATCATATGACATATTCCAGTTTTTTGTCTTTTACTACCCCCCAAAATTTTCAGAGATTTCGCATGCATATATGGTTGAACTACGGTAAAAATTGGGATCTTACTTACAGGTCAGATACATTAATAGATATTACTTGGTGAAAGGGGGCAGTGGGGTAGCCTAGTGGTTAAAGCATTTGCTTGTCATGCCGAAGACCCGGGTTCGATTCCCCACATAGGTACAATGTGTGAAGCCCATTTCTGGTGTTCCCCGCCATGATATTGTTGGGGCAAGGCACTTTGGGTGTACTAGAAACCTCTCATTCTGGGTTCGAATCCCTGTTTGATCTGGTTATGTTTCTCGGTTTGTCTGTACCATTTTCATAGGTTTCACCAAAGTTGTAAACATCTCAGATCTGTGCCACTCAGGCTTTTGAGTGAGTGAGTTTAGTTTTATGCCGCACTCAGCAGTATTACAGCTATATGGCAGCGGTCTGTAAATCATGTCTGGTCCAGACAAACCAGTGATCAACATCATGAGCATCAATCTACGCAATTGGGATACGATAATGTGTCAATCAAGTCAGCGAGTGACCAAATATATCTAGAATAATGTTCATAGATATTTGGATAAATATATGTACATGTTGTCAGATGAATCCTACTATGGTTTGTTATTAGAAAATATGTTAAGAAAATACTGACCAAAGTTTAGCTAGGGAGATGGTCGAATATGTTTTATCTAACAATTTGAAGATAGTTGAAAATTTTCGTAATTGATTGTAATTAGTTTGCAGTACAAGTATGTCATCATATCGCTTCATTATGATGATAAAATACTGTTTGTTGCTTTCAGGACAAAGTGTAATGCCAGTGTGAGTATTCTATGAATCAGGTGGTGGTTCTGTGTTGTGGGTCAGTCAGCCTCTCCATAACCTGCCCAGCAGTCCCCTCCATAACCTGTCAGTGGGTCCCTCTCCATAGCCTGTCCAGGAGTCCCCTCCATAACCTGTTCAGGAGTCCCCAGGGAAAGGGTGTCAGAAATTTTGATGTCTTAGAAATCGGAACCAGCTATTATTGGCCAAGACAAACACAGAGTATGGATACTTAACCCTTAGGGTTGGTAAATGATTTTTCAGGTCTGAAGTTTAAACCTGTTTCTGGTATTGTTTAGAAATTCAAATGAAACAAAAGTGTATTAAAAGTTTATTTTTGGTGAATGTAAGTTTATATTACATATATTATGTATTTTTTTATATATATTTTTGTCATTCATCATTAAATGTAAATTCATTGTTTAATGTAAAACAGGTGTAAGATGATCCTGTTTAACAAAAGGAAATTATTTAAGTATTTTTGCAGTTTCTATCATTATGTCAAAACAAACAAGTTCTTGAACCTATCAATGTCGAAGGGTTTTGAAGCAGTCATTTTTACCAGGGTTAACCCAAGCTGAGGCGTTCAAAGATTAACAGTCATATGACCATTACCCACCGGGTACCCATTCACTGCTGGGTGAACATGTCCTTTTCATTTTGGATCATAACCCTCCCCAAGAGACTGTCCTACTTTGGGCAACCCTCCCCTGATTCCTGTTGACACACTTACTCTTACACTAGATAACTGGTTCCTATGCAAAACTATCCTGAAAACCTTCAATGTCATACTCTGACCAGTGCTCAGATAGGATTGTGGGACATTTACAGAGGTATTTAGAGAGCTACACAGGTGGTTCACACATTTATTGGTGGGACAGTTTAAATTTTCACTTAATTTGTGACCCAGCATGGTAAGTTATCTCCTGACAAACCCATGTTTGATTCCAATTTGTAACCTCTCTGGGTGGCCCAGCATTGCTGCTGCATGTATATTACTAAATTCAGATGAAGACCATCTTCAGTCCCGCTGCACTAATTTATGAGCTACATAACATGTACCTTTGTGTGAAGGTCCTGATTAAGGAGGTCATGTGTAACCAAAATTTGGTGCCTTTAGTCAATAATTATTAATTTTTTGGCCCAATGGTAGTAAAAAAAATGAATCTGAAGTGCAAAATCATCTCTGAGAATGTAAACGGTCAGTGTATCTCTAGCGAAATCTTGGGACAATTAGTTCTGCCTTTAATTAGAATTTATGTTTCCTAAAGCTGAATGGTTTTGCTGTTGTTAAATCTATTTATATCCATTCATTTTAAAAAGATTTTAACCTTTAAAAACAGTACAGGTTTTAATTACCAACAGGAGTTTTTATGGACATTTTATGTTATTTTTGAAAAAACATTCACTTGTTTTACATTTACTATTTGTTTGGCACTGATCTGTTCACCATTAGGACCTACATGTGGGGTTATGTTATGGTTGGGTAGTTGTCAGGCAGCTTTCTGTGTACAGTGCTTGGCTTTAATCAACACTTTAACACCCATTGAAAGAGAATATCACTACTGATTCAGTGAACTCTATATATGGTCCAAATGTTCAGTTGCTTCATGCCGCCATTTAGCTGGATTATTGCTGGATTATTGCTGAGTGCAGTGTAAAACAACAAACAAACAAACAAGGTGCTTCACATGCTATTATTAAACCTTATATCTGTGAAGATCTGGCTTAGGACAGGGCCCCGTTCCTCAAAGCGATAGTAGCGCCAAGACGATCGTGGTAACTCCCATACTTTAACATAGACTTACGACTGTCGTAGCGCTAAGACGATGGTAACTCCCATACTTTAACATAGACTTACGACTGTCGTAGCGCTAAGACGATCGTAACTCCCATACTTTAACATAGACTTACGACTGTCGTAGCAGCGCTAAGACGATCGTAACTCCCATACTTTAACATAGACTTACGACTTACGACTGTCGTAGCGCTAAGAGGATCGTAACTCCCATACTTTAACATAGACTTCACGACTGTCGTGAGCTAAGATGATGGTAACTCCCATACTTTAACATAGACTTACGACTGTCGTGGCTCGTAGCGCTAAGATGATGGTAACTCCCATACTTTAACATAGACTTACGACTGTCGTAGCGCTAAGATGATCGTAACTCCCATACTTTAACATAGACTTACGACTGTCGTAGCGCTAAGATGATCGTAACTCCCATGCTTTAACATAGACTTAAGACTGTCGTAGCGCTAAGATGATGGTAACTCCCATACTTTAACATAGACTTAAGACTGTCGTAGCGCTAAGACGATCGTAACACCCATACTTTAACATAGACTTACGACTGTCGTAGCGCTAAGATGATCGTAACTCCCATACTTTAACATAGACTTACGACTGTCGTAGCGCTAAGACGATCGTAACTCCCATACTTTAACATAGACTTACGACTGTCGTAGCGCTAAGACGATCGTAACTCCCATACTTTAACATAGACTTATGACTGTCGTAGCAGTAAGATGATCGTAACTCCCATACTTTAACATAGACTTATGTCGTAGCACTAAGATGATGGTAACTCCCATACTTTAACATAGACTTACGACTGTCGTAGCGCTACGATCGCTTTGAGGAACGGGGCCCTGGTCTGAAGCAACCTAAGCTTGTCCTAAGAGGCGACTAACGGGATTGGGTAGGCAGGTTGGTTGACACATGCCATCGTATCCCAATTGTGTAGATCGATGCTCATACTGTTGGTCACTGATTATTTACAGACTGCTTCCATATAGCTGGAATATTGCTGGGTGCCATGTACAATAAGCAGACAAAACATTAAGACTGGGTGGCAGTCATAAGGGCAAGCTTTGGCTGAACCCAAGGGTTTGGTGCAGACAGGCACTTACTCGGGATGGAATCCTGGATTCTTTAGAAGCAACATTGTAGCTAATTAGGGACCATTCATAATTTGTGGCTGGGGTTTTGGAGTTGATGATGAAGATTTTAAGGGTGGAGTCACCCATTTTGTTCTGGGGAGGCAGGGGTCATCAATTTTGTACATAGAATATTTACAAATTATGCTGTAAAATTATGGGAAGGCGGGGACAGGGGTCATTGAGTTTGTACATGGCATGCATGGGTGGGGTAGGGTGGTGTTCCAAATCATATCTCACTCACTCACTCACTCTCTCTCTCTCACACACACACACACACAGCCATAAATTATGAACGGTCATTTGCTGATTAGTCATGGTCCCGTGACTGTCATTTGCCCTTAAATGGCGTTTTAAAGTTCAGGGTCTCAGCTCTGACAATGGGGGCTGGGGAAGCCGTAAGGTTGAATAATCGAGGACATCATTACGTTTGTTCCGATGTGTTCGGATTAGGACAGGAAGATATTTAATATTGTGGATGTGGAAAGATGTTTCATTTTGCCTAAAACTTATTCACGCATTCATTGCAAGAGTGTATTTGTACTCCACGGAAAGTTGCCTTTGTAAGATGCCTGCTGCAGATTCGACTGAGTTGGATTTAATGCAGATTTAAACACTATTTTAATTAAAACACGTGTCGGCGTAAGGTTTGTTGAAAGTCTGAAGAGATGCAGGTTTAATTCAGTTACCATTTTGGTGCAACCCAAGAGAACGCAGGGGCGGATACAGCTTTTTGAGAAGGGGGTGGGGGTGTGCACACTTCATTTCCACGAGAGTTTCTATGGTCATTTAATAAACATTCATGATACCATACAAACAAACAGACACCATAAAAAAAACCACTCCACCCCCTTTGATCCGCCTATGGAACGGGTATGGAGCTGACAAACTTAGAAACAATCGGAGAAACCGGGATTTGAACCATGATCATAGCTTTGTGAGGGTTACAAGGGAGGCAACTCTGGACGCCACGGCCACCGGCGATCTGTTGCACATTGGGACAGCTGTATCTAACGTCAGTTTAACAATTCAAATGGCAAGTTGTCCGTTCAGTTTGTTATCAAGGACAGTTTAGATACATTTGGGTGGTAGTCAAGTGACTGAAGTGTTGGTTCATCACACGGAAGACCTGGGCTTGATTATCACGGGGGGATATCAGAAATGGGCTTTGAATACACAAACTGTGACAAAGCCCAAATCTAGTGTCCCCCGCCGTGATTTTGCCGGAATATAAATCCTACCCATATGCTCACATAATACATATCAATCAGATTTAGTGGTTGACGCTTTCATATTGTTGTGGGGCGGTGGGGTAGCCCAGTGGTTAAAGCGTTCGCTCGTCACGCCGTAGAACCGGGTTCGATTCCCCACATGGGTACATTGTGTGAAGCCCATTTCTGGTGCCCCTCGCCGTGATGTTACTGGAATATCTATTGCTAAAAGTGGCGTAAAACCCAACTCGCTCATTCACTCATATTGTAGTCGTATATTAAACAGTGATGGAAATATATCTGCTGGGTGAACCCACTACCTGTTAGTAACACAAAATGTTACAATAACACAAAATGTGAACGAGTGGTTAACATATGTCACGACAATTGGGTACAATGTGCGCCCAAATATCCCCGCCGTCATCCTGAACCAAAACCGAGACCCGCAAGTCTGATGCCGAACCCCAGATCAGGAATACTGGTTTGTCAGTACTAAACCCAAAGGGACACACTGAATCATTGCTGGATGTGCCGTAAAACCCAACTCACCCTTTGTTTTACTAATGCAAGGTTCTTTTCTAATGCGGTATGCACTAAATATTTCTAACCTGTACTGTGTAAATACCAGTGTAAATTTCTTTTATGTGTAAATACCAGTGATGATCATGCATGAAGCCATTTTTCTTTTAGTAACTTTATCAAACGATACATTTACAATGGTAATTCAGTTCGTAACAAAAAAATATAATTTATTCGAACATACCAATGTTAATTATACAAAGAAACATACATAGTGACAGAAGTGGCACCCCACCAAAGCCTAGTAGGTGGGGTGTTCGACCCACTCTTGGGTTTGATTCCCGACATTATTACAGGTCCTAATCCATTTTGTTGGTGTCTAATGCAAAAATCAACTGCAAGATGTCTACAGCGATATAATAACTAACACTTACATAACTCGGTCATAGTTTTGAATATTGAACTGTTTTCTTTCAGACAACAGAATCCACCATGACGCTCAAAGTACATCCATATGTAAATAGTGACCAGCACTGTCTCCATTTTCATTTCCTAATGGCTCGGCCATTCATATCGTCAAGTTGATTTCATAAATTGTCACCTGCTTACATGATGGGCCCTGAACCATGTCACAGAAATACAAATGGTTCCACTTCCAGGTTCAGCATATGTTATAGTTTACTCTTTCTATCAATCCTGAGGACCCGGGTTAGAATTGGTCCCATGCTTGTCGTAAGAGGCGACTGACGGGATCGGGTGGTCAGGCTCGCTGACTTGGTTGACACATGTCATCGTATCCCAATTGCGTAGATCGATGCTCATGGTGCTGATCACGGAAGTGTCTGGTCCATAACTCCAACAAACAAACATTGTTTCTGCTCAGATTCAGTCGAAGTTTATACCACTTTCTTTTAAAAAAGAATTAATTGCCAGGAATGTATTTTCTCTGATTTAAGCTATGGTGTGGTAGTTATAATATATGTATGTTTTTGGAGTCAAATTTAGTCAGAACAGCTATACAAACGAACAACTACATGCATATAAGACATGTGAGTTGATATTTTAATTTTTGCAGTCATCTGATCTACGGTTAAACCATTATGTCTGTCCAGAACCAACATTGGTAAAATTAGTTAAACAGTTTACATAGACGTATGACGATTGTAACACTAAAGGGGCTTGTAGTACGGATTCAGAACGGTATCTCGCCTTCTGAATATGAAAGATTAGCTGCGCCAGACGACATTTTCCAAAGGGAAAGACGTACCAGGTTCATCTTGGACAACTCACAGCACCATTCCATTCGTGACCAACTCGTGTTACTCCGAGACAATCCGAGTGGTGACGAATGGCATCATTCATGTCCACTCAAGTCATCCCGGACAAGATCGCAAGAGACGGGTCGAGACGGAGATGCATATGGCATCCGGGTATTATGTGGAGCATCAACAGCTGATCACAGAGATTGACGTAAAAACATAGCAAGGGTACCCCTGACTGTACATTATTCTGATGTTGTTAAAAGTTCACATTGCAGAGAAGGAGAATAAAACAAAAATAGCCAGTTTCGTCTGTCTTGTATCGTGGTAAGCTATAACAGATCTGCAATGGAAACATCCAAATCGAATACACCGAAGTTCCTCACCGCCCACAAGTCTTGAGAGCTTCCACCACTTTGTTGGTCGTGAGAAGTGTCTTAAAGAGGGTCGGATGGCGACTTGGATAGTGTGTCATCGTACCCACGTCGCGGATCGATGCTCACAATACACTCTAACAAACCTGTTCTCGGTCTAGAAATACGAGAAATACACATTTTAAGGTCGACTTACAAACTTCTGAAATAGTACATTTGCCATTGGCTATGGGCAAGAGACATACAAGTAATGGCTGCTATAAGATTAACAGCTTCATGGGGATTCCTAACTTGAGTGAGTGAGTTTAGTTTTACCCCGTTTCTATCAATATTCCAGCAATAACACGGCGGGGGACACCAGAAATGGGCTTCACACATTGTACCCATGTGGGGAATCGAACCTGGTTCTTCGGCGTGACGAGAGAACGCTTTAACCACTGGGCTACCCTGCCGCCCCTTCCGAACTGGAGTCACAGGCGTGCTGGAAACCTTTGATTCAGGGTTCGAGCTCCGTTTCAGCCTAATTATATTTTAAGCAGCTCTATTTCACCTCGGACGTTCCTCCCAAACCAAGATGGCTGTCAGATAGGAACGGAAACACTGTACAAACTACAAAGCGGTGTAAAATCCAACACACTCCGTCATGGAACACTCAAACTAGTGGTCGATAACACGATCATCCATCAACACCGTCACGAAATAATGACATGACCAGATGGGTCTCCGAGAGTATTGCTATTAATAGCATTAAATTTAACACACTTGCTCTGCTAAGTTTTTTTTAAGAATCTGCATCAAGCCTTACCATTTCAAATTTCAAAACACGGAGGGCACTGTGAACCTTGGAGTCAAAGGTAGACTGTGCATTTGTAATATTTATTAATCCAAATACGAACTTATTGCGATATCGGTATATAAAAGTCATGATGATACGATCCTGTTAACAACTTTACACCACCGGCCTGTGTTTGGGGCAGGTTATATTTCTATAACATGTAGAGGACCGCCTCCGTGGTGTAGTGGTTAGAGCGTCCGCCCGGAGAGCGGAAGGTCGCGGGTTCTATCCCCGACGGCGTGATACCAAAAGACGTTAAAATATGGTACTTGTTGGTCCCTGCCTGGCGCTCGGCATTAATGGGTACAACAAGGACTGGTCGGCTCGGAGTCAGTATAATGTGTCTGAGTGGGGTATTCATGCTTCACTGCGGCATGGTATCTCACATACACACGCATGCACGTTCATATGAGCACGGACGTAACTCGAGTACTCGTAGGACGAGTCGGTTTAAGCGTGGACTATTTATCATACTCTATGAGTCCATTTTCACAGGACTCGAGGACTTCTAAAAAGGGTATAGTGGGGTAGTCTAGATAACTCGAATTATTGAGGACGTTTTAGACGGACTGTCTGCCAATGACGTTGACTATGTGCTAAGCATGAGCGGCCGTTAACGTCTAATATTAAGAAAAGATATAACTTTATTATCCCGGAGGAAATTCTCATACATCCAAACTGTCTCAAAATAAATATATACACAGTTCACAAAAATATACACAATAATTACATGCTCAAAACGAATGCTATTTACAAATAAAACTGACATGATATAATTCAATTAACCACATAGGTAAAGAGGCTGAATAATTCTAGTTCTAATCACATGATGGTGATTCAAAATATTTGTTGCATTCACGAATACTTGATGGTATGAAAGACTGTCGAGCTCTGTTTTGAGGGAAGGTAATCGACAGCAGCGTCCAGAAGGAAGTAGTTCAAAATGGTGAGATGAAATATGTCAACTATCAAATCTAATTTTAGCTGTCTTTTTGACTATACTCGAAACACACTCCAGAAATTTTGCAAGCAGTATTAACAATTTTGAAAAGTCTGTTTTTGTTAAGATGAGACAGATCCCCATACCAACATAGAAAATTGTTGGTCAACACACTTTGAATAAAGGTTTGATAAAAAACTGTCATTACGGTTTTGTCAATGCCTTGACGATAATAATGTTCAGAATCAGAAATTAGGCCAGTAACAGTGGCGTCATCTGCAAATTTCACAGTAAACAAGTCATATATTGACAAGTAACAGTCATTGGTATACAAAACGAAGAGTACGGATGAAGGAACACAGCCATGTGGATCTCCAGTAGAGGTTGAGAGAAAAGAAGATTGATAGCCATTGGCACTGACATACTGAGTTCTATGTACCCTGAATTCTTTAACCCATCTGATAATGTTTTTATTAACACCTAGATTACATAGTTTACTCCTCACACGGTGTGGCTGTATGGTATTAGTTGTTACAAGTCTGCAGATGAGAGTAAATATTATACATCGATTGAGATTTCACTTCTTTGAAAATGATGAATAGGTAACTATCTTGACAAAAAAATGGACTGATCTCCACATGTTTTGTGTGAAGCCATATATCTGAATATTGCTGGAATATTGAAAACCTTTCACTCACTCTACGTTAAAGTCTTCACGGCCAGTCCTCTACTTTTCATCAACGCCCACTATTGTCCACACATAAGTTTACCAGCACTCCAGTTGGTTTCAACGACCGAGTGTAAACAGTATTAAGAATACTCGCATTATCAGTCTTTACCAAAAACCGTTTTACTGGACCTCATTATAAAAAATAAATAAAAACATTCCTTGATTGACACCCCGACATCAACGAATATGATAAACACATAATTTGCTCAATCAGGCGATGGTGCTTGGCGATGTTGATAACGATAAGGTAAACTGCAACTTTGGGTTTTTGTTTTACTTTCTGAGACTCACTTAGACAATAAGCTATAATAACAAAGATTTCTGTTTGAAGTGACTGCTTTCGTCGAACATCTATAACTTTGATCCCATTAAATTATGACAGGATTGTCGCTGCATTGAATGATAATGACTAACACTCTAGGTTCAGAAGTGTTTGTTATTTTATTGGATTTGGAAAATCCAAAGGTTAATAGTCTTGCACTTATCAATAGTAAAAAACTAAATTTGACTGACTCAATCAAATCATGGTATGATTATGGTCGCTGCACTGACTACAATGGAATGATAATGTCTGTAACACTCCAGCCTTAGAAGCGTTTGTCGAAAGTCTTATGTTTGTTAAAAACTCATAGACCTCTAAATTTGTCTGATTTACTTTGAACAAAAACTCAGCACAATTATTGCATCTGACTATTAGCATGTGTGGAGTCCTACTGTATTATGCTTCTTCTGTTTATAGTATAATGAGCTTGTTGTGGGGAACATCGATGGAGACTTGTCAGTCTTTAAAGGCAGCAGTGTCACACCATGGAGAAAGACCTCCGATCTTGGAATGGTTTGTAGATTAGAATCACTTCTGTCAATGTAGACATTAGCATTCACTGATATTACAGTTTCAGAAAAAGGATCTCCATGTGTTGACAATCCAGCTAATTTTGTACCAGTGACTTAGGTAAACTGACCACATTTTTGCAAAACACAACTATTCTCTGTAAATTTCCACAGATTAGTAGTCATTTCTTACCTTATTTCTCTGTTAGTCTCTATTACTGACCTGAGAAATGATACCTAATAAAATATTCATCCCATTCATTTCTCATCCTCTGCATATTTGTAATATCCAATACTCATAATTCCTATCCAGCCTGTCACTTGGAATGTGCTGTTATATAGGGACCCTTCAGAAACATCAGTGGTATGGAGAATCATTTTTATCATCTTTATGTGTACCTCTTTTTTGGAGACTTTATATTTCTCTTTACATATACCTGACCATATTGCAGCGATAGTTATGCATGGCTATTATTACCTCAAAGTCATTTCAAAGATGATCATGTTCAAATATTTTGTTTTCATCTTTTCAGATAACATGTATAGGTCTAGGAGATATATGCAATAAAGGAAAGGTAATCCTAATTTGTTTCAAGCAAAAGGAATTCTAAAGAACACTTAACAATGATGTATTTTAGGTGGCAGAAATAAGAGGGAAAGTGTCCTTGTCATAATACGATTGAAAATGAAACTGAAAGAAGATGTCAAAAACTTTTAGTTATTTTTTTGTTCCCATGAAGGTCCAAGTTAAACTGGTCTTCCATATCCCATTCTTGTCATAAGAGGCAACATAAAATGCTTGCTACGAGTTATTTTTTACTTTTATATAAACTACCACATTCACTGCATTAAGCATCCACCTTAACAACTGCAAGACAAGTCTCTCTAATCCTTATGACCTCTGAAGATCCGACTTAGAATTGGTCTTTATGCTCTTATGCTTGTTGTAAATGGCACTGAGTAAGTGAGTTTAGTTTTACGCCGCACTCAGCAATATTCCAGCTATATGGCGGCTGTCTGTAAATAATCGAGCCTGGACCAGACAATCCAGTGATCAACAGCATGAGCATCGATCTGCACAATTGGGAACCGATGACATGTGTCAACCAAGCCAGCGAGCCTGACCACCAAATCCTGTTAGTCATCTCTTACGACCAGCATGGGTTACTGAAGATTCATTCTAACCCAGACCTTCACGGGTCTAAATGGCACTGAATAGGATCTGGTTGATCTGTGTCAAAATTTTCCAAATGTGTAGATCGATGTTTATGATGTCAATCCCTGAATTATCTGGTCCAGACTTATAGAGTAATATAGACCACGATCATATGGCTGGATTATTGCTGAGTCTGGCATTATACAACAAATAAACTATGGTAGTTTATAGGACCATACTTGTGTTTGAGGGTTTCAAAAAGGGGAAAATGTCTGAGTTTTTTTTCCCCACATCAAGCTGAAATGCTGTAAAATATAACTGTGATACTTTACAAAGCAGCTCTGCACACAACTAACTCACTCACTCATTACAGATATCACATTTTTATTCAGGTTTACGACATTAAGCTTATAATCACATTTGTTACATTTATGGTTGTTATGGTTACAGAACAACCTGGTTTGTCTGACAGCTGAAGGTTGGTGCTACATCTTCGACATCAGGCCGGAGGGCAGCTCAGAGGTAGGTGTCTATGTTACCTGTGTCCTGGGTGTATAGGGGTAAACATGTCTTGGCACACCGATATGATGTCCTCTGACTTTTTCATTGCACTTGTTGACAGTTCCTCAAAGAAGATGAGAGTGATATTGACATTAGAATCCTCAAGCCTGCCTACACACAACATCTCCCAGCCAACGGCAAGGTGATGCTGATAGCTGATACAGGTAACTGTCATAGTCAGTGTAGGTAACTGTCACAGCTGATACAGGTAACTGTCTTAGTCAGTGTAGGTAACTGTCACAGCCGATACAGGTAACTGTCACAGCTGATACAGGTAACTGTCATGGCAGAAACAGGTAACTGTCATAGCTGATACAGGTAACTGTCATGGCAGAAACAGGTAACTGTCATAGCTGATACAGGTAACTGTCACAGCTGATACAGGTAACTGTCATGGCAGATACAGGTAACTGTCATAGCTGATACAGGTAACTGTCATAGCCGATACAGGTAACTGTCACAGCTGATACAGGTAACTGTCATAGGCGATACAGGTAACTGTCATAGCAGATACAGGTAACTGTCACAGCTGATACAGGCAACTGTCATGGCCGATACAGGTAACTGTCATGGCCGATACAGGTAACTGTCACAGCTGATACAGGTAACTGTCATGGCTGATACAGGTAACTGTCATAGCAGATACAGGTAACTGTCACAGCTGATACAGGTATACAGGTAACTAACTGTCACAGCTGATACAGGTAACTGTCATAGCCGATACGTCATAGCAGGGTAACTGTCATGGCTGATACAGGTAACTGTCATAGCTGATACAGGTAACTGTCATAGCCGATACAGGTAACTGTCACAGCTGATACAGGTAACTGTCATAGCAGATACAGGTAACTGTCATAGCTGATACAGGTAACTGTCATAGCCGATACAGGTAACTGTCATAGCCGATACAGGTAACTGTCATAGCCGATACAGGTAACTGTCATAGCTGATACAGGTAACTGTCATAGCCGATACAGGTAACTGTCATACAGCTGTCATACAGGTAACAGGTGTCATAGCAGATACAGGTAACTGTCATAGCTGTCATACAGGGTAACTGTCATAACTGTCATAGCCAGATACAGGTAACTGTCATAGGCTGATACAGGTAACTGTCATAGCCGATACAGGTAACTGTCATAGCTGATACAGGTAACTGTAACTGTCATAGCAGATACAGGTCAACTGTCACAGGTAACTGTCATAGCCGATACAGGTAACTGTCATAGCCGATACAGGTAACTGTCATAGCCGATACAGGTAACTGTCATAGCTGATACAGGTAACTGTCATAGCAGATACAGGTAACTGTCATAGCAGATACAGGTAACTGTCACAGCTGATACAGGTAACTGTCATAGCCGATACAGGTAACTGTCACAGGCTGATAACTGTCACAGGTAACTGTCATAGCTGATACAGGTAACTGTCATAGCGAATCTGGGTAACTGTCATAGCTGATACAGGTAACTGTCATAGCTGATACAGGTAACTGTCATAGCATACAGGTATACAGATACAGGTAACTGTCATAGGCATACAGGTAACTGTCACAGCATAGCTGATACAGGTAACTGTCATGGCAGATACAGGTAAGTCATAGCTGATACAGGTAACTGTCATAGCCAATACAGGTAACTGTCATAGCCGATACAGGTAACTGTCATAGCCAATGCAGAATACAGGTAACTGTCATAGCCAATACAGGTAACTGTCACAGCTGATACAGGTAACTGTCATGGCAGATACAGGTAACTGTCATAGCAGATACAGGTAACTGTCATAGCAGATACAGGTAACTGTCATGGCAGATACAGGTAACTGTCACAGCTGATACAGGTAACTGTCATGGCAGATACAGGTAACTGTCATAGCCGATACAGGTAACTGTCATAGCAGATACAGGTAACTGTCATAGCCGATACAGGTAACTGTCATGGCAGATACAGGTAACTGTCATAGCAGATACAGGTAACTGTCATGGCAGATACAGGTAACTGTCATAGCCGATACAGGTAACTGTCATGGCAGATACAGGTAACTGTCATAGCTGATACAGGTAACTGTCATAGCCGATACAGGTAACTGTCACAGCTGATACAGGTAACTGTCATAGCCGATACAGGTAACTGTCATAGCCAATACAGGTAACTGTCACAGCTGATACAGGTAACTGTCATGGCCGATACAGGTAACTGTCATAGCTGATACAGGTAACTGTCATAGCCGATACAGGTAACTCTCATGGCTGATACAGGTAACTGTCATAGCAGATACAGGTCCCAGACACACGGACACAGAGGGTAAAGTCATGATTGAACTTTTATTCCCATGTTTTTAAGATGGTGATGGCCAGACAGAGTTGGTCGTTGGCTACTCAGACCGAGTGGTGCGGACTTTCCGATGGCAGTCAGGGCTGGACAGTGACGCCTACTCAACTGGACAGTTCATACAGCACCAGAAGTGGCAGCTGGCCGGTCAGGTGAGCTTTACACTGACTTGGTGAATATCGGTTCATATAGCACCAGAAGTGGCAGCTGGCTGGTCAGGTGAGCTGTACACTGACTTGGTGAATAACGGTTCATGCAGCACCAGAAGTAGTAGCTGGCTGGTCAGGTGAGCTATGACACTGACTTGGTGAATAGCGGTTCATGCAGCACCAGAAGTGGCAGCTGGCCGATCAGTTGAGCTATACACTGACTTGGTGAATAACAATTCATGCAGCACCAGAAGTGGCAGCTGGCCGATCAGGTGAGCTATACTCTGACTTGGTGAATAACAGTTCATGCAGCACCAGAAGTGGCAGCTGGCTGGTCAGGTGAGCTATACACTGACTTGGTGAATAACGGTTCATGCAGCACCAGAAGTAGTAGCTGGCTGGTCAGGTGAGCTATGACACTGACTTGGTGAATAGCGGTTCATGCAGCACCAGAAGTGGCAGCTGGCCGATCAGTTGAGCTATACACTGACTTGGTGAATAACGATTCATGCAGCGCCAGAAGTGGCAGCTGGCTGGTCAGGTGAGCTATACACTGACTTGGTGAATAACGGTTCATACAACAACACCAAGTGGCAGCTGGCCGGTCAGGTGAGCTATACACTGACTTGTTGAATAACGGTTCATACAACAACACAAAGTGGTAGCTGGCTGGTCAGGTGAGCTATACACTGACTTGGTGAATAACCTTCATACACCAACACCAAGTGGTACCTTTTCTGATGTAATTATTTGCAGATTCCTACAGTAGAATTGAGGGACATTGTAATTCTTGTCAGTCAAATAATTTGGGTTTACTTCGACTGCTCCATCACCGTACTGTCATTGTCATGTTGCTGTTGCCATATTGTTGCTATATAAACTGGTTGACACATTCCCTTTTTATGTAGATTGGATCCATTACGGTGAACAGTTGTGGTGAGGGCAAGCCTCAGCTGCTGGCGTCCCAACCTGGGGGAACGCTGGTCACACTGCTGCAGGGGACCAACATCAGGATAGAGCAGCCCCACATAGAACACAGGTCAGTCGTAGTCCCACATAGAACACAGGTCAGTCCCACATAGAACACAGGTCAGTCCCAAATAGAACACAGGTCAGTCCCACATAGAACACAGGCCAGTCATCTAATGATCTATAGAACACAGGTCAGCCCCACATAGAACACAGGTCAGCCCCACATAGAACACAGGTCAGCCCCACATAGAACACAGGTCAGTCATCTAATGATCTATAGAACACAGGTCAGTCGTAGTCCCACATAGAACACAGGTCAGCCCCACATAGAACACAGGTCAGCCCCACATAGAACACAGGTCAGTCATCTAATGATCTATAGAACACAGGTCAGTCGTAGTCCCACATGGAACACAGGTCAGCCCCACATAGAACACAGGTCAGTCATCTAATGATCTATAGAACACAGGTCAGTCGTAGTCCCACATAGAACACAGGTCAGCCCCACATAGAACACAGGTCAGCCCCACATAGAACACAGGTCAGCCCCACATAGAACACAGGTCAGTCATCTAATGATCTATAGAACACAGGTCAGTCGTAGTCCCACATAGAACACAGGCCAGTCATCTATAGAACACAGGTCAGTCCTACATAGAACACAGGTCGGTCATAGTCCTACATAAAACACAGGTCAGTGATCTATCGAACACAGGTCAGTGATCTATCGAACACAGGTCAGATGTCTATAAAACACAGGTCAGTCATCTGTAGAACACCGGTCAGTTTATCTGTAGAACAGAGGTCAGACGTCTATAGAACACAGGTCAGACCCACATGGGACACAGGTCAGTCATCTACAGGGCACAGATCTGTCATCTTTAGAAAACAGGTCGGTCCCAAATAAAACACTGGTCAATCCTGTTGCATAAAATATGTTTCATTAATACAGGTCTGCTAGATCTGGAAAAGTTGCCATGTCACATATCAAACACAAAGGAAGAGTGATAGCCCAGTGGTTAAAGTGTTTGCTGATCCCACCATATTCTGGGTTCTATTCCAGTGAGGAGTCAACTCAGCAGTCCTTTGTGTACCATCCCCTGGGGTCCTGCAGAGCTCGCAACAAGGAAGTGTCAACTGTCATCGTTGGTGGAATAAAACGAGAGAGAAAGGAAAAAGACGACAAAGCTTCCTCTTTCTATGCCCTGGCCACTCTAGATGGTAACTATCAGTGTTTCGACTCGCCCAGCAGGCACATGACATTGTTGAAATATGATTGATCTGAGGTTGCTACGTTGAAAGACATTTTATCAACATTGTATCAACATTGATATCTGATGCTAATGCACCATCAACATGTCAACATCATCACAACTTTCAAATCCCTAAATGAGCAAGGTATACCATTATTCAGTCATGACCGAATAAGTTGTAGTCTTTAGGGGATAATGGGGATATAAGATTTCTCAGAGCTTAGCTTGTAATCAGCAAGTCGACAATCTCACCAACTTGGACTCTGGTTTCCACAAAAATGGAAGTCTGACAACTGGTAGTGTAGATCACATACTTTGTGTACCCTTGAAATGACTCGTGTGAATCCGGGATAGTACTGAATCCCAAAAGTACTGGAGTCATTTCAATTTACACTTGTCAGAGGGGTAGACTAGAACAGTCAAACCTTGGCTGTGGTCTAAATGAGTTGTTTTTTTAGCTTTACGCCGCTTTTAGCAATATTTCACCAATATCACGGCGGGGGACAGCAGAAATGGGCTTCATACATTGTACCCTTATGGGGATTCGAACCCAGATCTTCAGCATGACGAGCAAATGCTTTAACCACTAGGCTACCCCTTGTGGGGATTCAAACCTGGATCTTCAGCATGACGAGCGAACGATTTTAATCACTAGGCTACTCCGACGCCGCCTATTGTCGGAAGACTTGATTCAGTGTGTTTTACTGTTTGCAGGTAGCCTTGTGCTTGTACAGTCTGACAAGACCGAGTCGGACAAGATCGTGTGGTCACTACAGGTCGATCACCAGCTGTTCTCTCTCCACAAACTGGACGTTACGGTCAGTGGAACAGACGCCAGTCGGTCAAGGGATAATATCCAACATTAACACAGGCTGTAGTTATATATAATTGAAAGTATGCATCTTCCAGGAGGAGCCAGAATAGTGATACTCGTTGCCCTCCATGAATTGAGGCTTTTAATAACTTTGAAAGATTATAGTCATTAACCTGGACATAATTTTGTGTGAAAAACTTGAAAGGTTACGGCAAATGTTGCATATGAAAAACAGATATATTATTTATTTGTATATGTGGCCCTGAGGCCAATAGTACATGTGTACAATAATAACAGTGCATTTATGCGCAACCTGTAAATACGCGAGTTATAGGAACATCAATAAATCCATAAACACCCATTCACAATTTACATTTTTTCTCTCAACATAAGTATGTGGTACAACACAAGGGCTACCTTAAACAACAAGTCAATATTTTCAGTGCGAAGTAGCATACAGAATTTTTCTCTCGACGGTTGGTTATAGAAAAAATATGTCAAATATGTTTCTCTTATTTCTAAATATTTCGGGCATACAAGTAATACATGGTACTCATCTTCTTGTGATAAATTGTAGATTGGACATTGGATATCTATTGCATTTGAAGTTTGGGCAAATCGCGCCGCTTGGACTTTGAAGTTGTAAGCGTTACATCTAAATTTAGTAAGCGTACGCTTAAGTTGTGGTGATTTAATGAGAAATACTACCCTTTGTGTAGTATGTAGAATAAGTGGGCGAAGAGTTTTGGACGCTTTTTAAGGAGAATTATTGTCTGTTATTCCTTGTACAAATTAGGTGTCAAGGATGTGGCACATATTGAAAGTATTTTCAACATTGTCATTTGTGCGTTGTGGGGAGTTGGTGGCTGTGAGATCTGAGACACACTGCACAGGAATGAGTGAGTGAGTTTAGTTTTACGCCGCTTTTAGCAGTCTTCCAGCAATGTCACAGCTGAGGACACCAGAAATGGGCTTCAAACATTGTACCCATGTGGGGAATCGAACCCGGGTCTTCGGCGTGACTTTACATTTCATGCAGTACATATGCTGACCTAACCATCAAATCTGCAGCCTTTACTACTGCATTTGTTACTTCTCTGATGATGGAGCGGTAGAGTAGCCTAGTGGTTAAAGTGTTCGCTTGTCACACCAAAGACCCGGGTTCGATTCCCCACATGGTACAATGTGTGAAGCCCATTTCTGATGACAAACCGTGATATTGCTATTCGTGATATTGGAATATTGCTAAAAGCGGTGAAAAACTAAACTCCCTCACTCACACTTCTCTGATGCTAATTAATATGTGTGGCAGTATGTCCTGGATGTGGATGGCCATGATAGGATCAAGTCTCAGAAGACACTATTGTCTTCATTGCAGGACATGTTACTATGGTAACCACAGAAAATTGTGTATTGTTCTTGTTGCTAAGGTTACTATGAAGAAGTTTCTGTGGTGTAGAATGTGTTTTCTTGTCTCTAGGGTAACAATCGTGAGGAGGTTGTATGTTGTTCCTGGGATGGGCAGACGTACATCGTCAACCACAGCCGTGAGGTGGTGAGGTACCAATTTGAAGAGAATGTTGCCGCTTTCTCTGCAGGTAGGTTTTTGAATATGAATAACTCTGAATTTTAATAAAATAGCTTAATCCTGTGGACCATTTGTTCAGAAGTGCACATCAAAGTTCAAGAAATATATTTCAAATACATCACACTTATTGCTTTGTTTTAAAAATACTTGTGAAGGTGTGGGTTCGTATTGGTCCTCAGGTACCCATGCTTGGCATGAGGTGACTAACAGGATATGTAACACATTATAAGTTGTATGCTTCTCTCGAGGGTAATACGGTCTGATGTATGCCTCTTTGAAGCAGTGTCACCTGAGCCGGTAGGAATATTGCTGAAACAACGACCAAACAAAAACTTGTTTTGAAAGAATCTTATTTTGGGGTCAGCTAATTCTTTAATGTCAATGGTGACGTGCCAACAAATTCTGTTAATGCACGAGAACATGCGTGATTTTGTTCAAAACTTGGCAGACATATCTATTCATGTATATGCAGAGCTCCAGATAAGATTTAGCTCATGTGGGTACTGTACCCACTGTATTTTTTTGGAGTGGGTATTATGAATGTTGAGTGGGTATTTCATTTTCCGTTACCCACTGCTTTCAAATATGTGCGTATTTCAGTCATTTTACACACCGAAGTATTGTGTCATCGAGTAAGTTTACTAAGCAGGTATGTTCTGCCTTACGTCATACCTAATTAAAACAAACTTAAATATAATGGAAATGATTTCATAAAAAAATCACTCATCCTATACTGACAGTACAACACTTGTCCTATACTAACAGTACAACTTGATAGCAATCGATGTCTTTTTCATTACGCAAGCGATTTTTATAAATATATTCCGTACGCATTTGTTTTAAACTTTTTGCGTATATAACATTTTAAATGCGTAATTGGTACGCAACAATTATTTTTCACTGCGTAATTGGAAATTTTCTATGCGTATTTTACCCGGATACGCAGCCTATGATATGTTTAAGTTGACCCAAACACATCAGAATGTGCGAATACAACAAAGAAGATGTAGACTTTGTGGCAGATGAATGATTGCTCTTATTGCAAGTAGCACGCTGATGTTCAGTATGTGTTTCAGGTTTCTTTGCTCTGCCAGACCAAGGCAACGTGCCATGTTTTGTGTACGCAACGTTCAACAACCGCATCTACATCTACTACAATATCAGCCTCCCCGAGGTGGAGTCCACCAACCTCCTCACCGTCATGGGCAGGAGAGACGACACGCGGCAGCTGCTGGCCAGGATGAACATTGATCGTATGTTCACGTTGATATAACAGACACTTATAGCTCTCATTTGATTACCCTGGTGCCATATTCAGACCATTAGAAGAATCTGTCGTCAGCAAGCAATGCTTGTTGTGTGACTGACTGAGTGAGTGAGTTGAGTTTTACGCCGCTTTTAATAATATTCCAACAATATCACATCTGGGGACAGCAGAAATGGGCCTCTCGCTTTGTACCCATGGGGAATCGAACCCGGGGCCTTGGTGTGATGAGCGAACGCTTTAACGACTGGGATACCCAACCGTCCTGCTTATTGTAAAAGATGATGTAAGATGGGTAGTCACACTTGCTGACTTCATTGGTGCCTGTCTTTCAGACCCTGGTCATTCAGCTCGAATATTGATGAGTGTGATGTTAAAAAAGCAACAAAAACTAAGAAATAACCCTTCACAAGGCATCCTTCAATAGTGAGATTTGATGAACTTTTAGATGAACTTTTAGAGCACATTTCCAAATAGCTGTAAGCAGAGGCCCAGATAAGCTGCGTATCCGGGTAAAATACGCATAGAATTACGCATTGAAAAATAATTGTTGCGTACCAATTACGCATTTAAAATGTTAGATACGCAAAAAGTTTAAAACAAATGCGTACATAAGATATTTATAAAAATCGCTTGCGTAATGAAAAAGGCATCGATTGCTATCAAGTTGTACTGTTAGTATAGGACTAGTGTTGTACTGTCAGTAAAGGGTGAGTGCTTTTTTATGAAATAATTTCCATTATATTTAAGTTGGTTTTGATTAGGTATGGCATAAGGCAGAACATACCTGCTTAGTAAACTTACTCAATGACGTAATACATGTACTTAGGTGAGTAAAGTGACTGAAATACGCACATATTTGAAAGCAGTGGGTAACGGAAAATGAAATACCCACTCAACATTCATAATAGCCACTCCAAAAAACTACAGTGGGTACAGAATCCACATGAGCTAAATCTTATCTGGAGCTCTGGCTGTAAGTATATTCTGTCAACTTTTTTTCAGTGATATATGTTTTTCTTGGTGCATGTTTCAGCTAAGCGATCCGACCAGCTGCGACAGCTGTATCACTGGGTGCTGTATGGCTTCCACGGCAAGACATGACCAACTGAGCAGACCTACACCTACCAACGGAAGACATGACCAACTGAGCAGACGTACGCCTACCAACGGAAGACATGACCAACTGAGCAGACCTACACCTACCAACGGAAGACATGACCAACTGAGCAGACCTACACCTACCAACGGAAGACATGACCAACTGAGCAGACCTACACCTACCAACGGAAGACATGACCAACTGAGCAGACCTACACCTACCAACGGAAGACATGACCAACTGAGCAGACGTACACCTACCAACGAAGACATGACCAACTGAGCAGGCGTACACCTACCAGCGGAAGACATGACCAACTGGAAGAACGGAAGACATGACCAACTGAGCAGACGTGCACCTACCAATGGAAGACATGACCAACTGAGCAGACCTACACCTACCAACGAAAGACATGACCAACCGAGCAGACGTACACCTACCATGGGAAATTCACAAGATTCTCGATACTTGCTGCACGATATTAGTTGCCAGTTTGTCAAGTAATGGTCTTTCTGATCTGACACAAAGAAAATATGATGAAGGGATTGCAATTTTGTGCACAAATCTTAAGTCGATGACATACTTTATTTCTGTCTCACAAATTATATCATGTACAGACACGTTTAGATCGTTAGAAACCTGTGGGCATTCTAGGTTGGAATGTCCCTGTGCTTGTCCTAACAGGAGAATAATTACGTAGGTTGATTGTCTGATTGGCATTCAAGATGTGGGTGAGTAAATAACATAGCAAACGACTTGATGGATAACAATGTCTTGTGTATTTTTAATCTGCTCTTTGCTGCGACTATATAACCCATGAAGATGAGATCAACCCATGAAGATCAGCAACCCATGAAGATCAGCAACCCATGTCTTAAAGATCAGCTCCCATGAACGGCATCCCATGATGGTCAGGCTCATTGATCTTGTTTGATTCATGTCATTGTATCCCAATTGCATAAGATCAGATGCTCATGTAGTTGATCACTGGATTGTCAGGTCCAGACTGGATTATTTACAGACTGCCCCTATGTAGCTGGAATATTGCTGAGTGCGAAGATCAGCAACATGAAATTAGTAACCAACAACAACAACAACACTACTGTATATACTACTCATTAGTGGTGTTCTGATCAATTGAAATAATCAGAAGATTGGTCGAATATTGTGACCAAAAACACCAAACACAATCAATCACATTTTCTCATGAATCGAACATAAACGATTTTTTCTCATAATCGAACTACTTTTTTAGTCCTTGAAATACTTGACAATGGAACATATCTTAGAAATTGTCAGGGCCTGAAAACGTGTTTAATTCTTAGAAAACACTCCACTAACTGAAAAGCCATGACTGAATATTTCTCTAAGACTCCAGAAAGTTTATGTTCATGATATATTAGTCATCACTTTAAAGTAGCAAGTTGCATCATGTTATACATATCTACAATAACAACCTGGATTGGAAAATCGGAAAAATCTTGCTAACCAATTTTTTTCGATGACTGTTCGTTGGTAATGAAGCAATCATGAATTGTGAGATTTCAACCAATTCCCAACACTAGTACTCATCACCTGCTGGTAGCCATCTTTGGCTTGATAATGGTGTAAGATGTACACCAAAATGTTGCTCCATGCAGTAAACAAAAAGTTGTTACCCGTCGTATACTCTGTTAGATGGGGTTTCATTATCGAAGACTTAGCTGATTATGGGTCATTCCCCAACATCAGATGGTGCTTAAAATAATCACTGAATTGTCTGGTCTTGACTGGATTATCAACCATTTAGCTGGAATATTGCTGGATGTGGCGATAAGCAGCATGTACTCTCACTCACTCACTCACTAATGCCTAGATGCATTTATATTAACATAAATTTTGAATAGGTATCATGCATTTTCCTGTCCACATTGTCAAATTCAGCATTATTATATGGTTGTGATGTCTGTTTTGACCAGTAAAACGGTTGTCAAGCCCTATGTTCTTCAACAGTTATGAAATCTCTTTTTCACTCAGGATGACTTTGGAATTGTTTAATTTAGCTAATTTAATGTCATCAAACCTATTGTTACTATATACACCATAGGCATGGAAATTATTGACTGATTGTGGTCAAATCAAGTGATTGATAAAATATGAAATGCGCTTTTTGTTCAGAGTAAGATGTGATTGGGGATTGTCTGTATTTTGTACATATATAAATAAAACACCGAAACATGAGACTTACTTTTAGTTAACCTTGACATTGTCAGTGTCATTTTACCTTGTGAAGTTTTCTGTCTCTCTCACCAATGGAGTTCCAGGTGTAGAATTGGTCTTCAGCAACCCATGCTTGCGACTCACAGGATCCGGTGGTCATGCTCGCTCACTTGGTTGACAGGTCATCCGTGTCCCAATTGCATACATTGATGCTCCACCGCCTCCGTGGTGTAGTGGTTAGAGCGTCCGCCCGGAGAGCGGAAGGTCGCGGGTTCGATCCCGACCGCGTCATACCAAAAGACGTTATATTATGGTACTTGTTGGTTCCTGCCTGGCTCAGCATTTATGGGTACAACAAGGACTGGTCAGCTTGGAGTCAATATAATGTGTCTGAGTGGGGTATTCATACTTCACTGCAGCATGGTATCTCAGTGGGCTAGCACTATAAAACCAGCTTAAATCTGGGCTAGTACAAGCAGCCGCACATACACATACACACCCATGCACGTCGTCATATGAGCGAAATATTCTCAAGCACGACGTTAAACCCAATTTCACTTCACCTCACCTCACCTCACTTTGATGCTCATGCTGTTGACCACTGGATTGACTGGTCCAGAATTAATTATTTATTGACCGCTGCCATATAGCTGGAATGTTGCTGAGTGCAGCAAGAACAAAGAAAGCATGCGTTGTCAGAGGATGTCAAGACACTTGAGATCACTGGCCTACACATCAGTACTAAGTGAGTGAGTGAGTTTGGTTTTACGCCGCTTTTAGCAATATTCCAGCAACATCACGGCGAGGGACACCAGAAATGGGCTTCACACAATGTACCCATGTGGGGATTCGAACCCGGGTCTTCGGCGTGACGAGCCAACGCTTTAACCACTAGACTACCCCAACGCCTACACATCAGTACTAAGACAGTTTAGGCAGCAGTCTGTGTCAGAGCGGGTGGTTGGGTAGCCTAGTGGTTATAGCGATCACTCATCACACCTGAGACCCAGTTCGATTCCCCATATGGGTACAATATGTGAAGCCCATTTGTGGTGTGCCCCACGTTGATATTGCTGGAATATTGCTAAAAGCCCCTTAAAACTCACTCACTCACTGTGTCAGCGCCCTGGTGCATGCATATTGGATTAACACAAGGGGTGATTATATGAATCCTGTATATAATATTCACACAAATGAGGATTATATGAATAATGTCTGTTGCATATGAGATTAACACAAGTGGGGATTATACCCGCCAACACGATCACTCGGAAGTGTCTAGTTACATATTCAAAATGCAATGATTTCCCAGGGACTATCACAGGCAATCAGTCAGTAAACAATTCCCGTTGGCTTACTTCCGGGTAAGGTCTGGAGAACAACACCGCATGAATCTCTGTGTTACTGGTTTCAGTTTCAGCTGATAAAGTCAATATTCCGAAAGTAAGGAAATTGGGTATTATATATACATGGGGATTATTCTGTTTATCAGATAACATGAACTTTCAAAATTGTATTTGGTCTGATGTTTAGACGGATGACAAAAGGTTCTTTACTTTGTGGATTACCACATCTTACGTCAGATAAGGGGTCCTGAAGCGTTCGGGGCGGTGGGGTAGCCTAGTGGTTAAAGCGTTGGCTCGTCACGCCGAAGACCCGGTTCGAATCCCCACTTTTGTACAATGTGTGAAGCCCATTTCTGGTGTCCCCCGCCGTGATGTTGCTGGAATATTGCTAAAAGCAGCATGAAACCAAACTCAATCAGTCAGTCAGTCTGAAGCGTTCGTTCGTCACGCCACAGACCCGGGTTCGATTCCCACATGGGTACAATGTGTAAAGTCCATTTCTGGTGTCCCCCGCCGTGATATTGCTGGAATATTGCTAAAACGGCGTTAAACCAAAGTCACTCACTCACTCACTACTTCAGATAAGGGGCGGATGTGGAGTGTCAACATGGGTGTCTATATGTTGACCCGTAGGGGAGGGGTGACCGTGATATGCGCCACCCCACCCCCACAACACAGAAACAGTTTCCAACTGAAATATCCTTCTATCAGGAACATTTTGACAAAGAGGATTTTGTTCAACCCATCCACACATTGTCCAACAGCTACATAAATGTACATGTATTCGTCTCCAAACCAAAAGTAGAATAAACTAATGTATATATGTATAACTTTAAGTTTTATAATTATGATTTTTCGTTTTGTTTTGACATGTTCTTCGTGACGATTCTGAATCAGAGCCTTTGATGACATGGGGCATTAGCACGGGACATGACGTGGTATATCTACGTCATGATAAAGGCAGACAACGCTCAGGGAATACTTTAGAGAACAAGGAAATAGACTTCACTATTCAAATTGTTATTAAAATGTTGACACGTCTGTGTATTTTTGTGCGGTGGGGTAACCCAGTGGTTAAAGCGGACGCTCGAAGATCCTGCTTCGGTTCCTAAAATAGTTCACTGTGTAATGCCCATTTCTCGTGTCCTTCGTCGTGATATTACTGGGCTATTGCATAAGGTGACGTAAAACCACACTAACTCACTCACTCTATGTATTTGCTGAGCACGAGATTTGACATGAACGGCGCATCGTACATTTAACGATCTATCTGCATTGTATCAGATACTCATCAACGGCCTGTCTAACACAGCTCCAGAACACGTACAATGGACGCACTGTGAGTGTTTCGTAATAGATCTTATAATGGCGGAGGTTCATCCTGTTACTAACTGAGCCTCGCTTCGCTCCTGCGACGCTACTGGACTTGTAGATTGAAGGATTGTGTGATCAGACTGGACTGCATACAAACCTCATAACATTAGATTAGACGTTGTCTTCTTGACACTCCTAAGTAGTCTGTCACAGTCCCTGAACCGCATTATTGCCCCAACTGCCTTGCCCTCCCTGCAATGCTAAATCTCTAAATAAAGCAAGTCTAGATTTCCTCAGGTTCAGGATCTTCATCTGTCTGGGGCTCCTATTCAATTTAAATGGGATTATTTTTTATATATTCAGAGATTATAAGCGTAAGTCCAGTCCCGAAGCTGCGATG